AGAGAGAGATAGTGCGGGGGGGGGGGGGGGGAAGGCAAAGCCAGAGAGTTGCGTTCAGTGCATCTATTGTATTTGTCCTTGCCTTTTTTATATCACAATATAAATGCTCAGTTGCCTATACTTCAAAACAAAAAAATATCCACTGCAAACACTTGTCTCCCAAGGAGGAGCACCGAGTCACACATACCGGAGTTACTCCCCACACTGCTGAACATCCCCTGGACGGAGGTGATGCAGTCTCTCACACCACACATTCACCACGTGCCCCTGGTCTGTCCCATGTAGGACATGAGTACAGGGCACTTGGTCTCTGGAGATGAGTTAGGAGGAGCCTTCTCACAGCCATCTACTGTGAGAAGTTAATTTTCATTTGGCCCACGAGCATGTGATTAAGAGCCCTCATCACGGTGACGAAGACTCTGGCAGTCATTCTGTCTGTGGCCTCTTATGCATGCTGTGGTGGCAATGTAAATCACACTACACTTCTCACCCATTCCTTTCAGCAAGTTTTGGAGCTGAAAGAGTGAATTTACTCCAGCAACAAATCTTACCCATGGCAACAAAGGCTGTTGGAGGGAAATTGGCTCCATTTCCCACCCCTTCCAACACTCCATCAGGCTGAGAACACTTCTGGGCAACTACCACCGAAGTTTCTTCCAAACATGAGTTTAATTTGTGTTGTACATGACATAAGCCCCCAGCTAGAGCTGACCTGCTAGCATCTAGCTTATTTGTAGCTGAATAAGCAAAACCACCTTTTGCTTTCTACCTATTAGGTCAGTGACATTGATTTCCCCTGACTGCAATGGCTGCAGATCTTTACACACAGAAAAGGGAGAAATGAAAGTATACAGGTTGTTCAGGGAGCTGCTGCATGCCATGGGAAGTGGAAATTCAGGATCGCTTTCCTTTTTCAGGTTTGCGTGGTTGGCTAGTCCTGCACTAAGACCCTGGTTCCTAGCTGTCCACAGCTATTCACATTTTCTCAAGACACATTATCCAGGGTCGACAGAGATGAATAATTAAGTCAGAGCGATGCACTAGGAATTGTGAAGGTGACATTTGGAATACCAGCAGAAGGAGAGAGTGCTGCAACTATTTTTCATGTTCAGAGGTCTGCTCCTTTTAGCATCAAGTCCTTGGTCCATTTGCTCTTGTCACAATCATTAATGTCATTAGCAGTTTCTGTGCTCCAAGGATGCAGATGGCACTAAGTGGCCCAAAACAGATTCTAGACCACGGGATTGGCTATGAACTGCCCCATCCAAAACACAAGGCACCCAAGACACAATCCTCTCCCAGCCCTCCAGTGTGACTGGACTCCACAAGAGACATGTTCTCCTGGACAAGAGGCTGCAGGTTCACAGTCAAGCAAGGACGTGAGGCAGCAACATCAGAAAGACTCTCCTCCACATGCACCCTTCAAGTCCAGATCTTTGTGTTCTCCAGATGGAAAGAACAGACCTGATGGCAGAGTCAGGGACATCCTCTCAGAGGTGTCAAACAGTTTCACTGAAAAAAAGGTCCTAGTACCTGCAGTAGGTATTAGGTACCCGCAAGCACGTCAGATACTCTCCATTAACTGACTCTTAATAAAAGGCTTCAAAGTACATTAGTATTAGAAAGACACCAAAGAAACCCTTAATCGTGATAGCAACTCTTAGTTTGGGCCGGGGCAGTGAAAGTGATTTATTATATGCTGCTCTTCAGACGCAGTCTGCCTCTTTACTTAGAAAATGTCAAATAATTTATGGACATGGAGCTTTTATCCCTCTCCTGATAGCTGGCACACCCTCTCCCCATTTCAACTTGTTGGCTCACTTTCTTCTGTGAAAGTCAGCAGAAAAGGGGCACGCAGATCACCCTGGGAAGCTATTGGCCAGACAGGGAGAACAGAAACTGCCTTTAATTGTCCAGGAGAGTGTCTGAGCTTGACCTCAGCAGCCAGCCTTGGCCTGGGGAACTCAGGGGAGCTGTAAGACATTTGGTTATGAGGTAGATATCATTTTGCGTGGTGCTGGGGGACTAGCTTCAATTAAAGAAGACAGCCATCCTGTAAAATCTGTAGCATTTATGGCATTTTGACATGAGAGAGGGGAACCAAGAACACTTACTTAGGATTAGGAGAACAGACTTCATGCACGTCCCTCTCATTTTCACATACGCTCACCAAGGGCAGCTGCTCCCATCAGTTCTTCTGAGTTATATTAGTGGACGTAGAGGGAATAGCCCCTCCATGGACTGACTGTCTCACTGTGGCTTTTCTTTTCATGAGTCTGGAGGAACCATAGACAGTCACGGTATGGGATGGTTCAACACCAAAAGGAAGTTGGCTTCGGTCTCCTTTCTCTCTTAATCCTCTGCAACAGTTGTGTTGCTGACACCAGCCCTTACAACCTCTGCAACTGAGCATCACTTCTCCAGCCCCACGGTTCAGACTAGAGGTCTTGACACTTCACACATGGCTGACAATTGCTGTGATGGAGGGACGCAAGGATAGGCAGCTGCTCGTGCTATGAGATAGCTGTAATCTGCAAAGCTAAAAATTCACAACAGCTCCTTGAGAAATAATGCCAAAAAGGCTTGCCATAGCTTGGGAACATAGGCCTAGACATGGTTTGGTTTTGAGAATATTTTAGTACGTGCTCCCCAGTTCTCAGCACTTTCAGCCTGCTTTGAGCACTAACTGCATTTCTCTGCACCCTGCTTACACTGGGCAGGATTACAGGGTGAACATCTTCCTGCGACAGCAATGGAACGACCCACGGCTGGCGTACAATGAATACCCTGATGACTCCCTGGACCTGGACCCCTCTATGCTGGACTCCATCTGGAAGCCTGACTTGTTCTTCGCGAATGAGAAAGGGGCCCATTTCCATGAGATTACCACAGACAACAAGCTTCTGAGGATCTCCAGAAATGGCAATGTCCTCTACAGCATCAGGTGAGGTGACTCAATGGGAAGAGCTCCACCAAGGTAGGGGAAGACAGAGCTAAACTCCCACTATTCAAGCCTAAAATGAGAAAGTAAAGACTTTGAGCATGCCGTTGGATAAAAGAAATTGAGGGTTCTTTTAAAGTGGGAGATCATATAATTAGCAGTGTCGTAGTAATGTGGTGGGAAGGGATCTTTGGAGGTCTCTCATGCAACCTCATCCTCATGCTTGACAACAACAGTTCAGGTCAGCTGGGGCATGGTCTAGCCAAATTGAAATACCCCATGGACGTAGATCCCATGAGCTCTGTGGGCAGCCTGTGCCAGTGTTTCATCCTCTTTTGGGGCAGATTCTTTCACACAAGAAATCACTGAAAAGTAAAACACACAATATCCCTGACCAACATTATTTCCTTTTTTTTTGGAGTTAGATATGACTACACTATCTATAAGAAAGAAAAAGGGCAGTAACCAGCTCCCTCATTTGGACCTTTATATCCAGCATTAACCTGTGCTTAAGAGCAGGGAGGTATACGGTCCCCTGTTTGCATGTATAAGCACATCCTTGTGGGAGCAATATGCTCTAAGTGAAGAGGTCTTTCTCCAGCCACCCCAAGAAGAGGTTGGCAAAAGTGTGGAATCCTTCTGAGAAAGTGCCACTAGCTACCTGAGCTTCATGTTCTAATTTTGCATTAGTAGCTTCCTTTTCAAAGAAAGCATGAGAAATACCATTATTTTTCTTCAAGGTTAACCATCTAAAAGGACTGTGCATCCTGGCAGTACTCTATCACACACTATTGAAGAGCTTGAGATAGAGAGAAATTTTCCTGTGTCTCATGCCTCCATCCAGAATTCAGGATCTTGGAGAAGGATGCTGCTTTTGAAAGGCATGGAGATTGCACACCATGAGCTGGGCTGCCTCTGGGACAGCAGAGACCACTGCATAGTTGGTACTTCCATACCCTCAGGTAGCTCTGTCTTCAAGACGTGCTAAGACAAAGCTATGCCTAGGAAATCTATTTTCAGAAACAGTTTTATTTGGACAAGGGAGAGAAAAAACTTGAGAGAAAAAGAGAGGCTGGGAAATGCCTCCTTCTATCAGTAGCTGAATCCGTTGGAGCAGAAGGATGTCAGAACTTCAGCCACACGGTCACCACTTGCTGCTGCTTCCACAACAGGTAGAAAAGTAATAACCAGTGAGGTGTTAGCCAAAGTATCTTGAGACAGAGGGTTGGTCTGGGAAGGAATGTAGCTCATCTCTACCTCTCTCAGTCTGAGAGCTTCTGCTCCTCACTAGTAGATTCCTTAACATCCCTAATGTAAAATTACTTGAGCTATTATACTAGCCCAAGCCTAAAACCAGCTGTACTACATGAAAATTAGTTGAAACCCATTAAAACTATGTTTTGAAAGCTGCATTTCCTGACAAAAACTTAGGGAAACTACTAAGTAGAGCTCCATGGCTTTGTCTCAGCATAATTCTTGCCATTTATCCCTTTTATCGCTAGATCCAAGAATCCATCAGTGAAGCTGAACTAATTGCACTGAATTTCCCACAGGAGATCAATCCAATCCCCCACCTTCACTTCACTTCCAACCTTATCCACTCTGTATTTTAAACTGATGAAATTAAGATCAAACTTCATGAGCTTAAAGAGGGAAAGTTTAACTCTATCTTGAAGACTTTTTCACCTTGTGTATAATGTAAATGTAAAACACACACCCCACCTCACACTGCAGCTCCCAGTGGCAGCCAAGGGGAAGAAAAAGCAGCATGGAGCCGTACAATGGAAAATAAACAGCTTAATGCTGAAATGTAGACAGCCTCCATCGAACACCAAGGTGGTTCCAGCCCAAAGACCAGCTCCCTGATGGCCAAAGCAGTAAGAGAATTACCATGCATGTTGGCTGAATGTGGAAACCTCACATTTCTTAATTTCTAAAAACAGGCAGGTAGTAAAACTGCCACCAGCAACTTGGCAGTGAGCATGGCACAGAGTCCTGTTCCAGGTAGGTTTGCAGGAGCACTGAAGGGGAATACTGGGTCACCTCAGCCCTGGGGTTGCTCTGCAAAACAGAGCAACGACTCAGTAGGGGACATGCAGCAATGTGGTTGAGCTGATCAGCATTTTCAAGGCAAAAACTTGAAAACACTTCAGTTCTTGTTCTAAAAAAAGAACTTTCCTATCTCCCTCATCTCCAAAATAAAATATAGGTTTCTTTTTACGTACCTTTTCCTGTGAAAACCAAAAAGAAAGAGGACATTCATGATGGAAGAGCACAATGTAAATGCAGGGACATGCAGCAATGTGGTTGAGCTGATCAGCATTTTCAAGGCAAAAACTTGAAAACACTTCAGTTCTTGTTCTAAAAAAAGAACTTTCCTATCTCCCTCATCTCCAAAATAAAATATAGGTTTCTTTTTACGTACCTTTTCCTGTGAAAACCAAAAAGAAAGAGGACATTCATGATGGAAGAGCACAATGTAAATGCAAAGAGTTTCCAAAAGGAGAAATACTCTTTTCCTTTTAAAAAAAAGTTTCTGACTAAAGTGCTCTGCCATTTCCTAACTGGTTTTCTGCTACCACTATTTGCAATAGTCAAACTCTAATCAAGGAACTTACAAGAAGGTGGATGTTGTCCCATGGACCCAAGACTCAGCATGCTCAGCACTGGATTCACCCAAAACCACCCTTAAGGATTTCACTCTCTGATCCCTTCTCAGCACCTACTTGTCCAGCATGTGGTCAGCATCTCATGACCTAGTTGTAGCCACAGTCACCCCTGTTTCACATCTGGCAAATATTTACAGTAAATTCTTCTCAAGGGGCTTGTCTGAAGATGTAACTGAAGGCTTATCTCTCTGATTGATCAGAGATGGAATTCCTTACCAGGGTTGTGATGAGAAAAACAGAGAGGGCAAAGGCTAGCGGTGACTCTCTTCTAGTAAGGTGTTTGTTTAAATAGAGAAAATGCAGTTGCTTTCATAAAGAGGAAACTTGAACAGGTCGATTCTTTCTACTGTCACATCTTCTGTCCCAACATGCCTCTAAACTCAAGCAGAGAATTTCTTCCAACATAATGATTTAAGTTAAAGTATCTTTCCCTCCTGCTAAGTTTCTTGTAGGTCTGATGATAGAAAAATTCAATTCCAGTCCCCTAGGAAATTCCGCTATTTCTACATCAAGGTAAAAAGCTGAAAAATCTGAACATTTCAGGGAACAGCATTTTCAGTATTATCAAACCAAATAACACAAGTCTACCTCTCTGAATCAAATCATTTTAAAGCAGCTTGTTGAACCAAACAAACATTTTGAGCATAGATCATGGTATAGGGCGGCACAGCAATACACCACAGAAAATGCAGCCTGCACCTAGTGGAAAATGGAGCTTGAGAGACAAAAGTAGAGGTCTTTCTTTTTCTGATGCAGAAATGTTCTGCTCAAAGATTTCCAAACATTCCCAGTCTCTAGAAATGCATCTGGGGAGTCCCAAGCATGGGTTTGGTCTTGCTGCTAATCCAGACTGTTGTGAACCTGAGGCAAGAAATGAAGGCCAAAGCAGCAAAACTGTTTGGTGTGAGAACTCTGCTCTGTACAGTCTAAAATAACATTGCAATGAAATGCCATCTGCAGCAGGTAACTCGGCCAGGAATTATATCACAGACCCAAATGCTCAGCATTTCTGATGCTTTCCAACATCACATGTAAAAAAACAGGCGGGGAAGAGGCGATTGATCAGTCGTTCCCCCCAGCACACCAGTGTGTCTTGGCAAGGTATCAGCCTCTTTGCAACACTGGATGTCCGAGAGGGTTCACCCCCTCAGCAGTACCACAAACTGTTTGGCATTCCCCTGTGCTGTCTTCTCTCCTCAGGATCACACTGACCCTGGCCTGCCCCATGGACCTGAAGAACTTCCCCATGGACGTACAGACGTGCATCATGCAGTTAGAAAGCTGTGAGTCCTGCGCACGTCTCCATTTTGGAGAGGAGACAACATGTTTTCCCTCTCCCTCTGTCCTGCCATCTCCCTCCCCAGTTGCAACCCATTTCCAGTTCAGCCTTCACTGGAGGCTTGCTTAAGAACCACTTGCTCAGGATTTTCCACTCATTGAGCACATGTGACATTTCCTAGAGAAACCAAACCTTAAAAATCCCAGAAGAGGAGCCCTGGCTTGCTTGTATTTACATTGGCCTTTCGCTTTGCAGGAGAAAGGTGAAAGTGCTTTCAGCTGGAAATGTTTTTTTTCTCTCTGGATGAACATTTGCTCCTTGTACATGTTGCTTATCCCAAAGGAGGGAAAGACAATGAGCAACTTCTTTCAGAGAAAGAGGTCAAGTCTGCAAAAATAGTAAACAGCTCAACAAGCCAAATTCAAGAAAAAATGTGATTTATTGCAGACAACTCATTGTGCACCATCACAGCGCCAGTGCAGGTCATTACCCTAGCTTTTATCACATGCCTCAACCCAAATCCCATTCATTACAGCATTGCCAAGGCCAGGATTGCAAGCCCTTGGCTGCAAACATAGCTCTCTTCCACAAGTCTGTCCCTCCCTGGATCGGTATTTAATATGTGTTTCACATGGTTTTGTCCCCTCCTCTCAACAGTTGGCTACACAATGAATGATCTCATATTTGAGTGGCAAGAAAAGGGAGCCGTGCAAGTTGCTGATGGGCTGACATTGCCTCAGTTTATCCTCAAAGAAGAAAAAGACTTGAGATACTGCACAAAGCACTACAACACAGGTCAGTGCTGTTTACCCTTAGCTGCTGGGTTCATTAGAGAGGAATTCTGGATTGTGCATTTGCCAGAGTCCCTTGCTACGTCTGATGGCACTCTGGTAATACAAGTCTTGTCCTACACATCTAGGGACACCATGCACATAAATACACATAGATATATTGCCAGTAAATATATGCTTATATAACAAATAAAAAGCTAATAAACACAAATGTGTGGAACCCTCTTGTCCCCAGTAACATCTGCATCACTTCAAGAGGGTTTGGTCTGGAACTTCTCTCTCAGCGTCTTCTTTTGTCTTTGATGTAAGGGAGCAGGTGAAATTTAAGTGACAAAGGACAAACTGCCAAGAGCTTTCTTTGCTATGTTGATGTTGTACGTTCATATTTCAGAACAGGGGAGCAGCTGTTAATTTCCTCCTCTAACAAGACATTGGTTCTGGGCAATGCAAGGAAAGTCTCCAGACAATAGCTGAGAACAGGAGGCTCACCGTGCCTTATCAGTAATCTCCATGTGTCTCCCATCCTTCTCAGGCAAGTTCACCTGTATAGAAGCTCGTTTCCACCTGGAGCGGCAGATGGGCTATTACTTGATCCAGATGTACATCCCCAGCCTCCTTATTGTTATTCTGTCCTGGATCTCCTTCTGGATCAATATGGATGCTGCACCTGCTCGTGTTGGCCTGGGGATCACCACAGTGCTCACTATGACCACGCAGAGCTCTGGTTCCCGAGCATCACTGCCCAAGGTAGGGTACACACTTATCTTCGCAGAGGGGTAAAATGTGTACTTTATGGGGACAGCGTATGAGTCACCACACAGATCCTCCTGCTCAACACAAGAGGCATTCTGCTGCCATTGCACTATTCCAGTTTAAGTGCAAGCAGAACAAACTCCAGTCCCCTCCTACAAAAATTTTAGCAGTTTCTACGACTAGCAGCAAAATTTCCCCTAAGATTCAGCACTCACCCCAAGATCCACCACAGCTCCCAGCAGCCAGGAGCTCTGTACCTTACAAACCTGTGCAACAACAACACATGGATATGCACTCTACATTCTAGCTTTTTACTCACTTGACCATCATACTTTTATAATAATACTGAATTTCCCTGTTATGAAGGGCTTCAGGTACGATTAGATTGGATTACTATTTTCCTTGCATATAAACCTTCACAATCAAGACCTGGATAAATGAAAAACTGTGGAATTATTACTACTTAGGAGCCGATGAGTAGTTTCAGTGGCCTGATAATACATTCATGTCAAATGAGTTATTTTTTGGTATCCATGAGCAGACGTCAACTATATCATGGCTTGATCAACTCTTTCCAAAGACCTTGGGAGTAACGTGTAAAGTGGCAAGCAAAAAGGCATTTGGGTGAAGAAGCCACCCTATCTCAGTCTCTTTCTCTGACTCCTAGGTGTCATATGTGAAGGCCATAGACATTTGGATGGCCGTGTGCTTGCTGTTCGTGTTCTCTGCACTTCTAGAGTATGCTGCCGTCAACTTCGTGTCTCGGCAGCACAAAGAGCTGCTCAGATTCAGAAGGAAGAGGAGGCATCATAAGGTAATACATAAAGCATGAAGGACACAGCTGAAATCTGTCCCAGCAGAACATCACTACATGGCCTACTGAACCGAGCCACTAGCTCCCAAAGAAGTCCTTAGTATATGGTCAGATGTTAGGGAGGGTCACACACCAAAAAGCAGGGCTACCTCAATGAATTGTGTCTCTTCTAACAGTCTGCTGACCCCAGGAGTCTAGCAAGTTGGTTTTGGTTAGCTAGCCAAGTGGTCTAAGCCAAAAGGGTTGTTCCCAACAGAACAATTTTCACACAGCCATGTTCTGGTCTGAGCTCTCCTCTTCAAGGGCTGGGGGGAGGCAGGCAAGGAGGTGTGAGGGATGTCTATCAGAGAACAGCATCCCTCAACAAGACAGCCTACATTAGCCCCGAGGTAAGTGACACCTCTTTTGTCTCTGTCATCTCCGTGTTCAAAAGCATCTGCTTCTGACTGACTGCAAATCCCTCTCGGAAGGAAAGAGCATTATTCTCAGCCTTAGCCTCGCTCCATGCTTACTCGCCATGACTGATGCCAATCTGAGCATGCATGTGTCACATAGACACACATCTCCCGCAGCCTGGTCTCTACTAGTTTTTAGGCTGAGGTACCACAGCAAAGATTTCACCTCACAGGATGCACTAGAAAGAAATATAAAGGTGACTGTGATTACAAGACCAAAGGTACTTAAAATTGTCCTTAATTAACTAGTAGAATCAGGTAGGTGGTATCAAATTTGCAGCACCAGGCCTGAGAGGCTGCCCTTTGCTAAGAAAAAGATACATAGAAAATTTTGCTAATGGGAAGCTCAAGAGAGCCCCTAGGAGACCACCAAGGTCTGCTTAAAATATTCCTTATAGGTATTTATCTACTTCAAAGAGCCCTCCGTGATCCATCCCATCCAGAGACCCCCCATTCCACTGCTTCACTGTCCCAGCCACTAAAAGGCTTTCCCAGGGTCCAACCTGTCCTACAGCAGTTCACAGTCTGTGCTTGGAGAGCTGCCACCATTCCAGGAGGCAGTCAGGGCTAAGGAGCAGAAATCCCTGTCTCTTTGTAGATTTGCCTCTCTCTGCTTCAGTTGTCCTATCTGCAAAACAGAAGATAATTGTTCACTTGTCCCCAACTCAGTCAGGACCAGGAATGAAAAGTGTCGGACAAATGCAAGGGAAAAGAAGTAACAGATAAGACCATCAGCACCCATTGATTTTGTCTGGCCAGAGCAACACCCTGCCATCTCAAAATCAACTGAGGCAGTTCTGGTTCAGAAGATGCAGCCTGCTTAATAGACTCAAAGCTAAAACCACCCAACATAGGTGCCTCATAGTGCTTTTATCTCTTCATCTAGATTCAGGCATCCTGTCTCTAGATCTATGCTATTGTATGCAGTTTGGTCTGTTGATAAAACAATAAGGAGAAAAAAGCCACTAATATACAGACGAGTTTAAAAGATATTTGCCAGAGATGTTCCATTGAACACAAGGGTGCCATTACAATCCCTGCCCAATCTCACAGCAATTTAATTGGAACAAAACATAAACACTTGCAAAAGCAAAATGAACAAGGTTTGCAGGCTCATCAGAAAACTAGGAGCTGCCTGCAAATCCGCAAATGGATTAGTGCAGCTGCCAAAGAACCTAATTGCTCTGTTCTGATGCCCTGACTTGTTTGGGTAGCTCTGCCTGGTTTAGGCATGACATGCCAGGCTAAAAACAAGTGAGATGTAGCAGTGGTCCATGATGGTGGAGGCAGCTGGGGAGAGGACCAGCCCATGCCCGCATTTATTAGGTCTGCCCAAATCAATGCCTACTAGCCGTTCTTCATAGCTCAATGCGCTGGATGATGTGCCAGGGTCTGACATTAATACAAGCGAATCCAGACAAATCTGTTTCTTACTTTCCTCAGAGTTAGATGCAAGGTTATAGTTTATTCTCATCATTAAGAGTCTGTCTTCCTTTCCAAAAAAATAAAAATCCAATCACTAAATATCTGTTGCCAGGTTTCAGTTGGCCCTTTCCAGTTCTGAGCTACCTCTTACCTCCTTCCCCCTGGAAGGAGGGCGAGGATTAGACTAGAAAGATCAACAAGACAGCTCTCTCCAAACCCATTATGCTGTCGGTATGTACGGGGGCAGACAGGTCCTGGCATGGGGAGATGCAGGGACTGTGGTGGAGAAGGAGAGTTATCGACCCTTTGAGGTATGGATCAGTCTGGTTAATCTGACACCAGCATCAGACCTGCTTGGAGTGTATTCAGAGAGCCAGCCCAAGGAGGTCAGTCCAGCGTGGCTAGTGATGACTTTGCCTTTCTCCTTGGATATGGCACCTTGAAAAAGGCACCGTTAGCTGCTCTATCCTAGGTATGGTACTCACACAAAACAAATCAGTCATAGGGAACAGCCAGTGGCCCCTCGGCCCTGAGAAGAGAAAGAAATTGAGTACATTAGGGAATTAAGTGATTTAGGCTAAACCAGACACGTGTCACACATGTATGTTTGTGCAACCAGGGAAGAGCAGAGGCAGTTTTACCTGAACCCCCATAATACAGATGCGATGAGAAGGTCTATAAGCTCTGAGCATCTCAGAAAGCCAGGCCTTTGCAGCCCATGCACAGGTTATTAGCTGCATGTAGGAGTCCAGTTAAGGAAAAGGTGACAAGTTAGGGATGAGAAGGACCTTTGCAAAACTCTCCCTGATGCCCCAGAGCTGAGGGGTGCCAGTGCCCGCTGTCTCCAGGCACAGGCCCCGGCACAGCCCTGGGCTCCCTCATTGCCCCATGCCAACGGTCAGCAGGCACTGGCAGGAGCCAGCAGCACAGCTGGAGGCATCTACCAGACCACCAGGCAGTGAGAAGGTCAGAATTGGTCCCTGTAACCTGTACCCTTCCAGGTCCCCATCTGCCCTCACTGTCAGTGCATCATCTGAAGTGCAGGTTCTGGTCACCTGAAAAGTAGAACGCCTGCATCACCTATCATCGGAAAATCAGCCTTTTCGCTGAAAAATTCTCTCCAAGAGAGCCAAGAGAAGAGTTTCGGTGAACCTTGACTCCTAATTCACAAAGCATGTCTTACCAGATGATGAGCAGCTGGACTCACCCAGCCCTGAGAGCAGCTAGGTCCTA